AAAGAAAATAAAACAGAATTGCATGGGAAATTAAAGGTTCAAGGTTCAAGTTCAAGGCTTTTATTGTCATACGTACATAGCTACAGTGTTATGTCGATGACAATCTTAGGTCACAGGCTCCACCAACAGTGCAACACAATACAACAGAAAAACAGAAAGAATAGTGCAAGGAAATACAAAAAAGAATACCAACTACCCCTGCCATAAATAAAGTTTTTATTTTAAGATAATAAACCTCCATTTCATGGATCATTCAATATAAAACGTTATGTAGCTACACTGGGAATGTCTTAAAAATGCATATTATATCACAATTAAAATATGGCAGCATCAGAATAATAAAAAATGTAATCATCTGAGCAATGACGATACAAAACCGAGCCTGACCGCCTTTAACATCAGGCCGGATTTTATTATGCTCTCCCCTTGATTGCGATTGGCTCGAATCCATTAAACACACAAATAACCCCCCAGCTGTAACCAAGTCCACCTGTTTATAAACACAAACAGTTATGAACACACTCCGACCTGTCACATATCATCAAAGACCATAGACTGTATATATAAAGTCAAAGACGGAGCAAACATGCAGCATGCTTCGATGGTTTCAGCTGGACCCTGTGCACGAAATCTGTTTCCTCTCAAACTCATGTTACTCAAACGAGGGGAGGGATGTAACACTAAAATATGAGGCGGTAATCCACAACAACTTTTGGGAGATAATATGTGTGTCATTCTGGCTAGACTTCAGCACCATTGTGGATTTTTCATTTCACTCTAGACTTTTTCCCAGAGTGTGTTCCTCAACATTTCTCAGGGCCGATCCTGTCTTCGCCTCCTGATACACAGTAGCCTGTTGTCTGGCCTGGGGGGCCGAGGGAGTGGTGTTATGAGAAGGCAAGGAACATGTTATGTTAACCTGGGTGGTAAAAGCCTGAACATATTTGGGAAAATGCCCCTTTATACCCTCTCACACCCACTCTTTTTCTTGGGGTTCTTAGGAATTCTCCAATCTTTCCTGTGTCGAAATAATGAAAAGGTCAGTTCACCCAAATTACACACACACATAAACACACGCACACACACACACACACACACACACACACACACACACACACACACACACACACACACACACACACACACACACACACACACACACACACACACACACACACACACACACACACACACACACACACACACACACACACACACACACATATACTTTTTATTTTGTATTAATCCATTTAGATAGTTTTGGTTTAATTTGGGGTTTTGGAATTTCGTTTTTGGTGCTCAAAACATTGAAGAAGGATGGAAGAAACAGAACATTTTATTTCTCGCAACAATGTGCCTTTGTGGTTAGTCCACTGAAGGGGCATAAAGAGAATCTTAGAACTGCTGAGGAAAATATACTGGGTACAAACTCCCCCAATACAACCCTATGCCACACAATGTTTGACTTGCCATTAGAAATATCATCAATAACTTTCATGACATGTTTTCTTTACATTTCAAATTTAGCAAATTAACTAATAATCATAGAAAATGCCAGAAAAAACCTAAATGAGGTGCCGTCCCTAAAACCAAAACAATGAGCTGAAAGTTGCTAAAACTCCCTGTAAAGTTGAGGGGAATTACAGAGTTTGGACTCCTGTCATGGAGTCTTTCAATATCCATTGATATTATAAAAACAGTGATTGAAACAACGCTGTGTGTCTTTTTAAGATATAAACATATTCTCAGATTGTGAAGCCACCAAATTCCGAGAGATAATACCTTGGACATTGGTCTTGTGTCTTCATTGTTACTTGGAGCCAGTCCGAAAACCTTGCTTTAGCCTAAAAAGTTTCATCTGAGTCCTTTTCCTGGAGATTTCTTTTTTTTGGGTGAAAACTTTTGACAGAATGTTTTGTGGAATATGCAGATGAACAACAATACCAATAGAGCTGTAGCTGATTCACTTAGTGTCATGCCTTCACTTTTTTTTTTTTTTTGCCCAAATTTGAAATAATTCTCTTACTCCTTCTACTCTCCATACATGTATTGCCCATGTTATACAGACACTGTGCACTGAAAAACTGAAACGTTGACTTTGATTAAATGTATCACATTAACAATTTCACATAACTGTATTGGGTAAGTTGAAAGTAAGATTTGTGAAATCTGTTGACATAATGAACTTAATCAAAGTCATATAGTGTGTCAGGCAAAGTGTCAGCACTCAGACTGAAAGGTTGTCTGTCCCCTTTAAATCTCCTTACTCCATTGTGTTTATCTGGATGCTTTCCTAAACTAAGCCTGGCAGAGTCCTGAATTTCCGGAGTCCAAAATGTGAGCCCAGGAAACTGAACTCCTCCGGGAAAGTGGAGCAACGGGAGATGGAGCGCCACTCAGAAGCAAAACAAACCCAAATGTCAGGGGTTTATTTAAAATCTCCCGTCTTATATTAACAGCATTGCTACAGGCTAGTGATTAGCCTCACATGGGTCAGACTCACTTAATTTCCATATTTTATGTATTTTATGAGATACAAAATACAGTCATGGATTGGATTCATGCTCAGTCATTGAAAATCTATTATTTAAAGGTTACAAAGATGGACTTAAGAGCAGATTTGGAAAATGTGTGATTTACATTCTTATACTCATATTAGAGCTTTGCGATGATGGCAGATGGAGCTGCATATGTAGATATTATGATGTTGTTGGCAAAGAGCTGAAACCTGCCCAGGTTATTGTAATGTCAACACTGAGCATATGATCTCAATGCAGCAATCTTTGACATTGAGGGATTCATACTTGTTTGATGTCTTACAGTTGAAATGCCCTGCGCAGGAAGGAAGTGCTCACCCACTGGTCGCCTGTTCCATCTTCAGGAGCTCTATGGGAGGGAGGGAGGATTTCAGCGCAATATTTACAGTGACCTTTTCCTCTCACTGGCCAGGGGCCCATGGGAAAAAACTGGAGAGGACAAACAATGAACAATAGGGTTCAGGGATGAGCAATGGTGGCAGCGCAGCATGTGCCATTACGGGATGTGCATTACACAGGGTCGGGGGGTCACAGCAAGGATCAAGGCACCAGCACTGTCCCTCAGGAGCACCTGGGACACCTGCTCAGAAAGCCTGTGCTATTTTAAAAACACAACATTCAATGACGTGTTCCTCGCTTGTTAGGAATAATGTCAGACATGAAAAACGTTTTTTTAAAGGAAAACAAATAAAGTAGACTCACAGTATAATACTAGGCCATGTTGTAATGGGATCACTCCAGCCTCTTCTACACTTACTAACCTCCTACTAACCCTACCTTTATTTTTCGGAAACTGTTCAATCCAGTCAAAGCTTCAAATTAGGCCAGTGGCGTATAGCAGTGTGCTCCGACCACACCCATCTTCAAATACCTTTACTTTAATCTTCACTTCATACCTGTAAGGTTTTGCAACTGTATCTTGAACAATCGCAACGCTATCGCTGTGATAAAATCTGCATTCAAATCGAGACAGTCCTGAGAAAGGATTAAGAACTGCTTCTGTGGTAGTTTACACTTTAGTAGGTGTCTCCGGGACTACATTATGCCATTATGATACACACACACACACACCCCCCACACACACACACACACACACACACACACACACACACACACACACCCACACACACACACACACACACACCACACACACACACACACCCCCCCACACCCCCCCCCACACACACACACACACACACACACACACACACACACACACACACACACACACACACACACACACAAACACGCTCAAGGTGAAATAAAATCAGTGCCACTGATGTTATTATCCAATGGCAAGGGCTGTACCACAGAGCCTAAGATCAAAATCTTCCACCGCCATTGCTGTAAATTGGTGTTTATGCAGTCAAACAGCCCCTGTGTTGCATCAGCATCGGTGCAAACTCCCAAGTCACAGTTTGATCCCTCAATTATCAGATTACCCCGTCTAATTGGACAATATGTTTTCCCTGGGGATTGGGCATTGCCTTATCAGGGACATTCTTTCTGCCCTGCACAATTTGGTAAGATACATGTAAATGTATCAGTGTTCTAGTGTGTGCTTGGGTGGTCTCTGTTGCATTTCTAATGATGCTGCGCCTTTCCCAGAACAAGTGGAAATACCTCTGTGATGCACCGTGAAAAGAGAGGAGAGGAAAGAAGCAAATCTCCCACTGGGACATAGAATTCTCACACAAACGACATCTAACATCGTTTCTTCCATATTTAATCTCTGCGCAGAAATCAGATGAACCATAGTTATCTACTCATTAGAAGTGTTCACAGCACATCAATATCTTATAATATATCACAACTGAAAGTATAATTCAAAATATCAAATTAAATTGCAAAATATATCAATGGTAAAACTGTTTATTATGCATATATAGCATATATAAATGAATTAAATATTATGTTTAAAGTGGACTAGAAATGTAAAGTAACATGTAAATAGATATATTTAAGATATATATTTATATTTACAATAACCAAAAAACTCTACATGAATACATTATTTTAGTAAATATACTTAGTTGCTTACCATGCTCCATTTGTTTCCCCCCGCTGATTGTGAGGTTTCTTTTGGTGAGTTCTTCCTTTTGCAGTGCAAGGGTCTAAGGACAGAGGGTGTCGGTACAGATTGAACAACCTCCTGGTTCTATTGTGACATTTGTGATATTGGGCTGTATAAAAACAATTTGACTGACTAAAGTTTAGAGAATGTGAAAAGGTTAGCAAATGCAATGTTTAAGTTACTTTTTCATTTTAAAGAAATAGCTTACTGGTATCATTATTTCCATTGTGCTTTTTTCTTTCAGACTTTCAGAAATGTGTATAGTATGACACAGAGTATACAAACGTTTTAAAAATGTATAGTGTCATAGTTTTTTCAGGAGGAGTAGAACAGGTCAAAATCATAACCAGACATTTGTTATGTTTTATTTTGAAGGCGTTGGCTTTTAACGGAAAGCCGGAAGTAGTCACGTGATACAGGAAACGGTCGCTGCGGTGCTACATCTGTAAACTGTAAGTTACATTTTCTCTATCCTGTTTTCTCCTAAATGCTCATGGTAGAGTCAAAGTCCTCTTGGTAGCAAATATGATAATGTAAGCGGTTTGTAAGATTACAATGAATACAAATGACAGCCAGAGTAAACCCTTCCGGAATAACGAAGAGCTTGCTAGCAAACACAGGTTAACGTTAGCCTAAGCTAACTTCAGATGGAAAATATGTCAACAAAGCAGATATCCCTTTCGTTAACATCACTAGTGGGTAGTTTGGTGTGTTTCATTCAATGTCCATGGAAGCGAAAGCGGCTGGAAATGTGTATAATGTTGTTATATTGTACCGTTTAAATGGGCAATATGATTAGCTGTAGCAAACTCCATTGACAAATCAGTCTATTTTATGATGTATTGTTTGCGAGGCGAACATACCTTAAGACCTCTTTGAAGCGTTTAACTTATTCAAGTCATATTTATTTCTGATCACTGTTTACCATAAATGCTTTATTTTAAAAACGTACACTTGATGTATCTCTATGCACCTTTCTTTCCCCCTTTTTTCTATATTTTGCCTGTCTCCAAGTATTATTCCATACTAATAATAATAATAAATGATATTTATATAGCGCCTTTCAATGGACCCAAGGTCGCTGTACATGGTGGACAAACAAAACAAACAGACAATCAACGGGCAAACCAAATAAATAAATAAAGGAAGCCAGGGGACCAGATATTATGACTACACTAAACAAGGAATAGGAATATTTTCCTGACAAAATCGTAATTTATTTTATATGAAAAGTCTTCGAACACATAATCTAGACTGGTAGGATGCACCTCTATATTTCATTTTTTGTTAAAATTCAGCTGTTTTGCCCATATGAATAATCAAATAAAAAGCTGGTCTAACATATAATAAAAAGCTGTGTCCAACATTACCAGTGCAGTAGATGTGATACATGACATGTAGGTGAGACCTTTTTAATAAAGAAACTACTGAATCCTCCAAAAACAAAAAAAATACATAATAGGAAGTGGAATTAAATAAAAAGAGGTTGTCATACTTGTAATATTATCTGGTATTGTTTTTGAGTCAATAGGTCACATGACATGGAAGTTATAAAAAAAAAAATAGGTTTATTGAAATATCTTTGAAAGATCAAAAAGTGTTTAACTTAGTAAAAAGACCTCAGAGTTAATGTTTTTCATAATATCATACCTAAAATTAACTTAACCATGGTCCGGTCCCTCATACTGAGTTAAGCAATTAAAATGTCCTTGTGAAAATGAGTAAATGTGTTGAATGTTTGAGAGAACCTGCAGGGTTACTCATTGCCAGGTGCTATGATTTCTCTCCCAACTTCTATAAACACTGTCCAATCCATTCTAATGTAAACACATGTAATAACTGCCCTTCCACAGAGATAATGATTGTCATTGAAGTACTCTATCAAAACAAAGAGCATGAGGCAGACTCAACACCTTGCTTAGACTTGCAACAACGTTTCATGTACAGATGGGAAAGAGTGAAAGTAAAGAAATGATCACATCAAGTGACCCCATGTGACTCAGAAAGGCACTTCGGTGAAAATAAACATTAGATTACTGTAACATCCTTTTTTCATCACTTCTCACTGCTTCATAGATTTTAGATGAACAATTACTGGTTTATATTGTTCACTTTATATCCTGCAAAGTAAAACCGTTTCCAACCTTTTATCACTGACGTCATGCAAAGATTTATTCTCTGAACCCAACCAAGTTATTTGTTAACATGGAAATGATTTGTTGGTTTGTTTTGCAAACTGGATATCAGTCTTCCCTAAAGGAATGATATGTATGTTGAAGTGTAAACATACCTACAAAGCACACACATGGTGGTGGTTTAATGGTCTGGGGGATCATTTCTTTGCATACTTTAGGACCCTTCGTACAAATTGAGCATCGATTAAACGCCACATTCTACCTGAGTATTGTTGCTGACCATGTTCATCACTTTATGACCATCTTCTGATGGCTACCTTCAGCAGGATAACGTGCCATGTCACAAAACTCAAATGGTCTCAAAATGACAATGAGTTCACTGAACTCAAATAGCCTCCACAGTCACCTGCATGGGCCTCATTTATTAAAGGATATACGCTCAAAAAATGGCGTACGCCAGTTTCTACGCAATGTTTGCGATTTATAAAATACTAACTTGACGGGAAAATGTGCGGTCCTCCACGTAAACTCTAACCCAGGGGTTCCCAAACTGTGCCATGCCAAGGACCCCCATATAGCATTATCCTCTGGCGGGGACCCCCCTGTTGCAATTTTTTTAATTTTAAAAAAATGATGTGTACAAGTGCCTCGCGATGGAGCATGCAGTGTGTTGCCACTACATTTGGGGCCTTCTGCCTGATCAAAGCTGTCACTCCACTTTCTTTGCCTGTCATAGCCGCTGCCCCATCTGAACACACACCCACACAACGAGACCAGTCAAGTCCATTTGAGATGATGTACTCATCTAAAACTTGAAAATGGCTCTTCGTGTGGTCCTACCTTCCAGTGCTTTGCAAAATAATATTTCCTCAACAAAATTCTGATTGGCTTGAAGGGCGGTCGTGTGATTCAAAAACAAAAAATATTAAAAGATTGGCATCAAAGGACACATAGATTGATATACAGTTATTAATAACATCTAAAAAAATAAAATAATAATTAAACTTTAAAAAAAAAGAAAATCCTGTTTCCCTCAAACGTTGCGTGACCCCCCTGGTGCCCCCTGGCGGCCCCCCAGGGGGTCAGGGCCCCCACTTTGAAAAACACTGCTCTAATCCATGCGTACGCACTAAGCACAAAAATGGGAGAGACGGAAAACTGCGACACCGTTGGCAGAAGGAAGAATGGAGAGAAATATGTGGAAATAATACCATAACCTCTCAGTTATCATATGCCAAAAGCCAATCCTAAAATGATTTAACAAACGCCTGTTTGAGACTCCTCAGTGCACACAAAAACATAACTTGGAGAAATAAATAAGTACGGATATGTTATTGAAAACCACCTCGAATATGTTGTGTTAATGTTATGAAATGTTTTCTCATAAATGATGCGGTAAGCAGGAGGACAGCATTACTTTAAACTGACGACGTGTTGCATTTCTATAGGTTGTAGATACGAGCATGGTTTTATATACTATCACGTTGAATCGTGTTTTATGCCGTTTGCCAAGACTTGATAAGTCGCTCGTAAAACACAGGAGGTATGGAAACTAAGAACACCATGTGTGGTCAATTGTACAGCTAATATAACACGACACATTAGTTGTATTTCCTTTAACTGGTGGATATAGAGTTGCTGCGGGGGAGACGCTGCGCACAGCTGATCGACAGCTGGAACACAAACCACCAAATACGAAAACATAATTCAGATCCAGTCGTCATGACTCCACTCCGGAGGGATTCCCCGATCATTTCTTACAGTCTCTCATCAAGGGGGTGTCTCCTGTCCCCGGTACAAACACACTGCCTGAGGAAGGCTATGTGTATTGTTTTTGTCATGAACCTTTTTCGGGCCATTTATTTATTTATTTTGGTGACGATCCGACCTCCATGCTGCTACTCTGGTTCAAACTGCATCCACCAAACAATATGATTTATCTCGACCTCCCCAAAATAACCCAAATCTGACACGGTGTGAGATGTCTTTTTTTAGCTGTTCTGTCGTCATTTCCTGCGATCTTCTTCATGCAGTCAGTCAGTCAGAATGAATGAATGGATGGGCGTTTCTTTCACTATTTATAGGCAAATATGGGCGTTACGTGAAGCCCGCAAAAGCTGCACCGCATTTCGAGTCGATTGTGATTTATAAAGGGGAACAAGTGCCGTACGCACTTTCCTCGCCGGTATGCAATGTTTTGTGAATCGGAACATTTCTTTACCTATTTTTTTGCTTTGTACTACATAAGCAACCTTCTCACGTGAATCCTACGCAAGGCGTTATAAATGAGGCCCCTGATCTCAATCCTATGGAACAAGAGATTTGCATCATGGATGTTCAGGCGACAAGTCTGCAGCAACTGAGTGATGCTATCATGTCAATATGGACCAAAATCTCTGAGGAATGTTTCCAGCAACTTGTTGAGTCTATGCCACGAAGAATTAAGGCAGCTCTGAAGGCAAAAGAAGGTCCAACCCGGTACTAGCAAGGTGTGCTTAATGAAGTGGCCGGTGATTGTATATCAAAAACACATAGGCTTTATGGGCAAATTAAAACCACCGACCAGTCTTTGCGGACCCCATACGTTCACTATATAAATATGTTGGGTTCATTATGAAACCATGGCAGGTGTACCTAGACTGCAGGTAATGGAAAACGTACGGTGGCCGAAAGGTGCAAACACTTTTCCATTAGGAGGAATCCGCTGCAATTTCAGGAACGATGCACACTAAATAAAAACACAAATGTACCAAAAAACTTGCAGAGGAAGAAAATGACATATCGTACAGCTAATTGTAGGTACTGTAATAATGTAAAGGCTGATCAAATTCAAATAACATTTCTTTGTTATGTCCTACAAGTGCCTGTTTATACAAACCAAATATAGTTGTAGTAAACAGCAATAACATGAGCTCAGCTTCTTTTGTTTTCAAGCCTATGTTACTCCAACATCCAAGAAAGTACAGTTCCTGCTATGGTTAGGCTAAGATATTACTTACCTTAAAAACCTCGAGTCGTCCCTGTTGTGATAGACACTGTTCAAACAGAACAGACTCTAAGCCTCTATAATCACTACTCTTGTGTACTTTTGTCAAATATTGTTGTAACAGTCTTCCTTTAAATAGGCTTTTTAGAGGAAACAGTACCCTTACCATGTGTGTTTGTTCAACTGATTGATTGTGTGAGAGATTGAATGAGAGTAATTGATTGACGGGTCGGTTGCAGGCAGGCACCATGTCGCAGGAATAGGTTGTCATTGAGCTCCTCCATCATGTGTGTCGACATCCATGCTAACAACTTTCAGTGAGAGCCTACTG